TCAGACAGATTGAAACAGCATCCAGGAAACCAGACAGACCAGAAACAACAATCAGACAAGAAGACATCTTTAAAGCCTCACCTGGAAGAGATGAACCAATCAGAACAGTGATGACAAAGGGAGTGGCTGGCATTGGGAAAACAGTTTTAACACAGAAGTTCACTCTGGACTGGGCTGAAGACAAAGCCAACCAGGACATACAGTTCACATTTCCATTCACCTTCAGAGAGCTGAATGTGCTGAAAGAGAAAAAGTACAGCTTGGTGGAACTTGTTCATCACTTCTTTACTGAAACCAAAGAAGCAGGAATCTGCAGGTTTGAAGAGTTCCCGGTTGTGTTCATCTTTGACGGTCTGGATGAGTGTCGACTTCCTCTGGACTTCCACAACACTGAGATCCTGAATGATGTTACAGAGTCCACCTCAGTGGGTGTGCTGCTGACAAACCTCATCAGGGGGAAACTGCTTCCCTCTGCTCGCCTCTGGATAACCTCACGACCTGCAGCAGCCAATCAGATCCCTCCTGAATGTGTTGACATGGTGACAGAGGTCAGAGGGTTCACTGACCCACAGAAGGAGGACTATTTCAGGAAGAGGTTCAGAGATCAGGAGCAGGCCAGCAGAATCATCTCCCACATCAAAACATCACGAAGCGTCCACATCATGTGCCACATCCCAGTCTTCTGCTGGATCACTGCTACAGTTCTGGAGGATGTGTTGAAGACCAGAGAGGGAGGAGAGCTGCCCAAGACCCTGACTGAGATGTTCATCCACTTCTTGGTGGTTCAGTCCAAAGTGAAGACCATCAAGTATGATGGAGGAGCTGAGACAGATCCACACTGGAGTCCAGAGAGCAGGAAGATGATTGAGTCTCTGGGAAAACTGGCTTTTGAGCAGCTGCAGAAAGGCAACCTGATCTTCTATGAATCAGACCTGACAGAGTGTGGCATCGATATCAGAGCAGCCTCAGTGTACTCAGGAGTGTTCACACAGATCTTTAAAGAGGAGAGAGGACTGTACCAGGACAAGGTCTTCTGCTTCGTCCATCTGAGTGTTCAGGAGTTTCTGGCTGCTCTTCATGTCCATCTGACATTCATAAACTCTGGAGTCAATCTGCTGTCAGAACAACAAAAGACATCCTGGTGGTCTAAATTAATTAAAGACAAAGAGAATCTAAAATATCTCCACCAGAGTGCTGTGGACAAGGCCTTAGAGAGTCAACAAGGACACCTGGACTTGTTTCTACGCTTCCTGCTGGGTCTTTCACGGCTGACCAATCAGAATCTCCCACGAGGTCTGCTGACACAGACAGGAAGTAGCTCACAGACCAATCAGGACACAGTCCAGTACCTCAAGAAGAAGATAAGTGAGAATCTCTCTACAGAGAGAAGCATCAATCTGTTCCACTGTCTGAATGAACTGAATGATCGTTCTCTAGTGGAGGAGATCCAACAGTCCCTGAGTTCAGGAAGTCTCTCCAAAGATAAACTGTCTCCTGCTCAGTGGTCAGCTCTGGTCTTCATCTTACTGTCATCAGAAAAAGATCTGGACGTGTTTGACCTGAAGAAATACTCTGCTTCAGAGAAGGCTCTTCTGAGGCTGCTGCCAGTGGTCAAAGCCTCCAACAAAGCTCTGTAAGTACAGAAATAGTTGGATTTCTGTATTATCACTTAAATACTCTGCTATCTTTTTGACTTAGAGAGATTATAAAAACATTATATATCACCAACATTGGGAACTCCTCACTAGCTGATATCATTTTTATAGAACTAATTTAAAGTGTTTTTGGTTTTGGCTGAGTGATAAAGTGCTGGTCACAAATGTTATTTTTCTTATTGTTGATCATTGTCTCTACAGACTGAGTGACTGTAACCTCTCAGAGAGAAGCTGTGAAGCTCTGTCCTCAGTTCTCAGCTCCCAGTCCTCTAGTCTGAGAGAGCTGGACCTGAGTAACAACAACCTGCAGGATTCAGGACTGAAGCTGCTTTCTGTTGGACTGAAGAGTCCACACAGTAAACTGGAAACTCTCAGGTCAGAATTCGTCAACCTGTTAACTCAAACTGATAACCATTTTAAACCTGAATTATGTTGATGGATACAATTGTAATCTTCCTAGCATTGTTTTGTTTATTTAGTTTGAGTCTCTTTCCTTGAACATGTTTATTATGTAATATGTTTGTAGCACCCCAACACTCAGTAAATGCTTAAGTTAAAGCAACTCACCTTGGACTTAAATGATGGGGTGTTGGAGTTCAGTTTATTAAGGTAGCTACCACGAAGGTTTACCTGTTTTGTGTGAAACTTGTTATGGCCTAATACTTTATGAATAACCAACAACTCTGTTAGACTAAGCAGTGGCTCTATTCACACGTACTCTACATTATTTTAAATAACTGGCCCCAGACAACTCTTTCAAATAAATGAAATAATAGTTAACTAACCAGTTGTTTTCCAGTTTAACACAAATAGTATTTACTTTGTTAGTCAACAGATAAACAAAAATGAAATAACACAATTAGACTTCTTTAAAATAAAAATATTATAGTTGTAAACAAAATACCCTTTACCAAAATGGGCAAAACACTGTAGAAAAATAGACACTTTTAACAAGCAAAATAGAATTGGCAATATCAAAATATTATTCAAAATTCAAATAATTCCAGGTCTCCGGTAAAATTCCTAGTTCTTACCCCTTAATACGATTTCTCTATACTTATCAAAATCAGATCAAATATGCTACTGAACTGAACTCTAAACAAAACAGTGGGCCAACACACTGTCTCACGCACACAATAACAAAAAAAGGCCTGTGTGTTGCTCGGTGTGGTGCGGCGGGGAAATCCTTATCCTCAGTGACAATTAGCAGTCACAAAGAAAATCCAACTCACGGTCTGGAATAAATCCTGGAGAAACAGTTAATAAAGAGATGGAGATGAAAGCCAACGGCAGCAGAAGTAAAGTCCTCCTCAGGAAGCGTGAAACAGTCCTTCCCGTTCAGCAATGGCGTCCTCTTGGCTCGATTCTCCAGCCCCTTTCTTGTTCACTCCCTTACCTACGGCCAATTACCAACAGGTGACATTGAGTGATAACTACAGCAACCAATCAAATGAAACAGCATGAACCAATGACACAAATCTGAAAATTCATGTTTAGTTTACCACACACTTTTCTTCAGCTACTATACAGAACAGTTTAATGTAACTACTTAATTAACTATTTACACTCTATTAATTTATTATGAATTTATGTTAATCTATCGGTTAACATTTCATCTTTCACTGCTTTTAACCTAAATTACTTTCAGTTTATTTGCATTACTGAATTATTTAATTAATTCACTGAAACAATTATTTGTATTACAAATTAACTTGTTTTAACCCCTGTACTTTTACACCGGACTACATGTTGTTCTGTGTGTTTGCAGGCTGTCAGGCTGTCTGATCACAGAGGAAGGTTGTGCTTATCTGGTCTCAGCTCTGAGCTCCAACCCCTTCCATCTGAGAGAGCTGGACCTGAGTAACAACAACCTGCAGGATTCAGGACTGAAGCTGCTTTCTGTTGGACTGAAGAGTCCACACTGTAAACTGGAAACTCTCAGGTCAGGATTTGTCAACCTGTTCAACTGATAACCATTTTAAACCTGAATTATGTTGAGGGATACAATTGTAATCTTCCTAACATTGTCTCGAATCATTTTTTGGTTTATTTAGTTTGAGTCTCTTTCCTTGAACATGTTTATTATGTATTGTGTTGTTCTGTGTGTTTGCAGGCTGTCAGGCTGTCTGATCACAGAGGAAGGTTGTGCTTCTCTGGTCTCAGCTCTGAGCTCCAACCCCTCCCATCTGAGAGAGCTGGACCTGAGCTACAATCATCCAGGAGACTCAGCAACAAAGCTGTCTGTTGGACTGGAGGATCCACACTGGAGACTGGACACTCTCAGGTATGAGGCAGATCAATACATTAGTAGTAGTCAGGTGACAGAGGAAAGGTCATGAAATTTCTGTTTTTCTGGACCGATGTCTTGTTTCAACATTGGAAAATAGGACAGTGGTTTATCCTGATGGGTTGGTGAGCATCATGGTGGGTTGACATTTGTCAATGTTGTCACGCTGCAGGTTTGTGGGCTCATATCATAAATAGTTTGGGTTATTTGGTTGGATGTCATCTGCCATCAGCGTGTGTTACCTCTTAGTCCAGAAAAACTAGAGGCGTCACCTAAACTACAATTCAGTTCAGTTCAGTTCAGTTTTATTTTTATGTCACCAATTCATAACAGAAGTTATCTCAGGACAGTTTTCAAATAGAGCAGGTCTAGACCGAACTCCTTATAACATTATTTTATAGAGACCCAACAGTTCCCACCATGAGCAAGACCTTGGAGACAGCGGCAAGGAAAAACTTCCTTTTCCGCCCTGACAGAGAGAGAGAGAGAGAGAGAGAGAGAGAGAGAGAGAGAGAGAGAGAGAGAGAGAGAGAGAGAGAGAGACAGAGAGAGAGAGAGAGAGAGAGAGAGAGAGAGAGAGAGAGAGACTAGAAATGACTGATGATGATGATGATGATGAACATGAAGAAGATTATGACAACGACAACAACGATGGACAATTATAATAGTAACTATAATAATTTTAGAATATATATTATAAGATTAGAATGATAATAATAATAATAGTAACTATAATAATGATTATAATAATAATATCAGTAATTTTGAGGCTCCACCAGGATCGATGAGAACCTGCGAGATGAGAAAGTACAAGAACTCCGGGGAAGAAGTGAAGTTAGTAACATGCATTAATGGGACATGAATGAGTGCAGAAAGAGAGAGAGAGGAAGAGAGGAGCTCAGTGCATCATGGGAAATCCCCCGGTAGTCTAGGCCTATAGCAGCATAACTAAGGGATGGTTCAGGACTCACCTGATCCAGCCCTAACTATAAGCTTTATCAAAGAGGAATGTCTTAAGCCTACTCTTAAATGTGGAGAGGGTGTCTGCCTCCAGAACCACAACTGGAAGCTGGTTCCACAGGAGAGGAGCTTGGTAACTGAAGGCTCTGGCTCCTGTTCTACTTTTAGAGACTATAGGAACCACAAGTAGCCCAGCATTCAGAGAACGTAGTGTTGTAGAGGGGTAATAGGGTACTATGAGCTCTTTAAGATATGAAGGGGCCTGACCATGAAGAGCTTTGTAGGTGAGGAGGAGGATTTTAAATTCTATTCTAAATTACTACTGATGTGAGATCAGTTGTGTTTAATGCAGGGAAATGTATATTTGCTATGTTTTTTACAAGATATTGAATTTTCCTGTGTTCTGAGCAGTCCTTGAACACCTCCTGCCGTATGTTTTGTTGTTTATTAGAGTATTCAGGTGTCAACCTGTCATTGTCCAATCAGGGTCCATTAAAGATGATTGGATGAGTATGAGGAAACCTACCGGATTCTGAGAGGATTAAAAAGAGAAACGGAGACGTATAAGAGAGAGAGAGACAGAGATAACTAGCATTATCTTCATGTGGACTGTTGCTAACTAGCATTAGCTTCGTGTGGAAGTAAATGCAGAGAAATATTATATTTAGTCGGCTCTTACCAATTCACCTCCCATGTTAAACTGTTTAAAAGGTAATCAATGTAAACATTCTGTTACAAATATAATACTGATAATAATAATATATCATCAATAAGTGAAAATAATGAGCTGTAGCCATCGGCCAATAAGAAGAAGCTCCACTGAACTGAAAGACTATCAGCTGATTAATAATAAGTGCTCCATGTGAAGATGTAAGTCCATTTGTAGAGAATAAGCTCTGTGTATGAGAGCGATGTAATGTCCATGTTTCCATGCTGCTCTGACCCCCCTCCTCCTTTCAGGGTGGAGCCTGCTGGAGTCCGATGGTTGAGACCAGGTCTGAGGAAGTGTAAGTGTGAAAACAAAGCAGCACACATTCAACCATCTTCACACTGTGACATCACTCATTCACAGCTCTGATGTCATCATCAAAGTGTCAATCAATGATCAGATGATAGATCAATAACTGCAGCTGTATTGTGTCTTGTTCTCTCCATCAGATTCCTGTGAACTCACAGTCGACACAAACACAGTGAACAGAAACATCAAACTGTCTGACAACAACAGGAAGATCATTAATGTGAAGGAGGTTCAGTCATATCCTGATCATCCAGACAGATTTGACTACTGGGAACAGCTGCTGTGTAGAAATGGTCTGACTGGTCGCTGTTACTGGGAGGTCGAGTGGAGAGGAAGAGTTTATATATCAGTGAGTTACAGAGGAATCAGGAGGAGAGGAAAAAGTAGAGACTGTTTGTTTGGAGGGAATGATCAGTCCTGGAGTCTGTACTGTTCTGATGGTCGTTACTCTGTCTGGCACAATAAGAGAAAAACACCCATCTCCTCCTCCTCCTCCTCCTCCTCCTCCTCCTCCTCCTCTGGTAGAGTAGCAGTGCATGTGGACTGTCCTGCTGGCACTCTGTCCTTCTACACAGTCTCCTCTGACACACTGATCCACCTCCACACCTTCAACACCACATTCACTGAACCTCTTTATCCTGGGCTTGGGTTCGGGTTCGGGTTCTGGTTCAACTATGGTTCCTCAGTGTCTCTGTGTCCTCTGTAGGAGGGAGAGAGAAACTTTCTCACTGCTGACCAGATAGTTCAGTCTGTACAGGATCACACACAGCTGATGTTAGTTAGTACCAACCTGATGTGTTTACTGTAATAGAGGAGGAAGAGGAGGCTGAAGGAAGAGAAGAGCAAAGGATGCTGGGATGAAGGGATCATGTGTGAGGGTAATGTGAAGCCTGCAGACGTAGAGATGAAAGAAATGATAGAAAGAATTGATCTTCTTCTATAACTCTGAGAAAAATGAACATTTTTAGGATCAAATGTGGCTGCTTGTTTTTCAAATCTTCTTTTTTGAAAGCACAGTTAGAGGGAAAGTGTTTTTATGACTCAAATATTAAAGTGTGAACAAATATTCAACTTTGAGTCTAAAACTGAACTTTGTTGCCTTAAAACTTTTGTTTCTGTGAAGAAAAAATGTGTTCAAATGTCAAACAAGAGTCTTTCAGGATCAAATTCAGCATCTGTGTAAAAATAGTTCCAAGGTGTAAAGAGTGGCTTTGATTTGAACAAACTAAATTCATCATCTTTGGTCATCGTGGAACAAATGTACAGACTTTGATAAGTCAGGTTGAAATCAAAAGAAATCAAAGTTTTGGGATGATTCTAGATAATAAATGATGCTGGAAACCTCATCTAAATGATGTCAAAGCAAAACTGTCCAAATGGATCCAACACTGTATAAAATGAAGGATTAGTTAAATCCAGCTTCATTCTCCACTTTGTATTGTTCACTTCTACTTCCATACATCACTGACTGTGTGCTCGTTTGGGGAAACTCATATAAAACAAACACTAATCAGATTTTTACATTTGAACAGAGAGACATAAGAAGAGTAAACCAAACTACTGATCAAGAACCAATAACAATAATTAACTGATAACTAGTAAAGGTTTGTTTCACCAACTTCCGCCCCTCGCTATGATTGACAGGAGGTTTTGGGGTGCTTTTGGCGAGCAGGGAGAGGTGTACGTGACACACAGAGAGAGAGAGAGGACCTCCGAGCCTCAATGTGGAACTTGAAGTAGACGCTCCGTGTAATAACGTTGAGCTTCATAAGAGTTGAGAAGCAGTAAGAAGTGATAACGATTACTGAGGATGAGCAGTTGCCAGCTGAAAGTGAAACGGGTTTCCCTTCTCAGCTTCTCACTTTGTTTGCTGCTCGTGTGTTAGCTACTAAATTAATTCCATGTACAGACAATTCTAGTATTTTCTGTGGTTCATGTTAAATGCTTAAAGGGAAACGTTTTGATGGTTAAAGTGTAAATTTCATAGTAATATTCACCATGTTAAAATAAAAGAAACATGAATTTCCTCTAGTGTGGAGTTTTTAAATCACTTACTGTGTTTCTACAGAAAACTCTGAGAAAGTAAGTTTAAGGCTTACTGTTTAATGTGTGAGATAAACTCTGTGTTTTATTCCTTCCTCAAATATTAGCTGAGCTGAAACAGTTTAACTCTGTTTTCATGTCTGTGACAATATTGTTTGTTAGAACAGATTTATTCAAATATCATTCAATTGGTTCAATTCGTTCAAACATTAATGAGAAACAGGACTTTCTGACATTAATGGGTGTCAATCTGGTTAAACTTTAATAAAATGAATAAATCAACTTCAATCCAGAACTCTTGTGAGTCTGTTTAAGGAATAGATGAGAGATAGATTTGATTTCTGTTTTACAGAAAGAACATAATGGAGAAATATGTATTTTTTTGTGACGGTGTATCAGAGTTAAAAATTCACTATTAATTCTTACTTTTAATATGTATGTAACGCCCATTAGTTACACACACAGTGCAATCCCCAGTTTTACAGTTTAACAATGTGTAGAGGGATACAGCCTAGTAGATTTCAGATGTAGTTGCTTAGTTTCACCAGCAGGGTGCGCATTCATCCCACACAAACACTGGCAGCGCCTTAAGTATGGAGTTAGATTTGTGTCTTTATTACATGCGAGAAAATAAATGATCTGAGAGAAAAAGTTATCACACTGAGAGCAAAAAATAATAATACTTGAGACTAAAAAAAGTTTTGAGAGAAAGTATTTTCTTATAGAACATAAAAAAATATAAATGTTTAAAATTATTTCTGAGAAAAACAAATCTCTCTCAAAATGAATTAGCCATCATGCTAGGTAAACTTGCAAACTCATCGGTTTTCCATGCTGGGATTTAAAATAAAAACTAATTACCATGACAGTACAGGCACACACATATTGGTGGGTTGCTAATGTAAGAGTTAGTCCTAGACCTGCAGTTTACCTTGTCAGCTCTAGACCTCGGCTACATGCTAAAGAATATTTAGAATAATAATAATGTGTAGCTGAGTTTGCAAGCTACACATGCAGTGTAGCTAAACGTGTAGTGCAACAACCATACAAAGACTATTTTCCACAAAACTAGGTGGGACACTTTCAAACGGTCTATCAATCACTGTCTAACGTTAGCTAGCTATAGGGTTGCCACCTTCCATGCAGACTAGCTGAAAGTTGTCCAGGAGGTTGTATACGATGAACAAAGGTAGAAACTAGCTCACTACTCACTAAATAAGGAGTGAAACTATCTAAATCAACTTCTGATCTGTTACTCTCTAACCAGTTAAACATCCTTTAATACCTCTGATCTGTTACCTAAATTCTGTCTCTCTCATTAAACATCCTTTAATACCTTTTTTTAACCTGTTGGGGCTACACAGTCGTTCCTATGATGGGAATGATTTTGATTACCAACTTGCTCAGCGAGCTACCCATCGAGTTGTGTGTGTCATCATCAGGGGCGGACTGGGACAATAATTCAGGCCGGGAGTTTGATCCCATCCCAGGCCACCACCACCAAGAGTGAGTTAGGTTGGGCGCCTACTGATGTAAGAGTGTAAAATAATAAAGCAAAGGCTCCACATGCGCCCACACACAGCTTTTTCTGTTTCTTTCCCTACAAAATAAATGTTTCTGTTGTGCTGCAATAACCTGAACTCAAATCACATCATTTCTATTCTATTTCATCTACTAAAATGAACCAGTGATTTATTTGAGATACACTACACTCTACCATCTAAGGAAGATAACACTTTAAAACTGTATCTGAGATGGCTGAAAAAGTGAAACAAACGCGCAACCGAGCGCAGGATAAGGACGAGGAGGAGACTAACCTGCTCCTAAAAGAGATGAAAGTGATCCAGGTGAAAGTGGATAATATTGAAAAACAGCTAAACAGCAAGGTAGATGGGCTCTACGTGTCGCTGGAGAAGATCCTGAAAGTTGAACTTCAGAAGTGTGTTAAAGAAATACAAGACAACATTGATTAATGGGTGTCAATCTGGTTAAAAATGAATAAATCAACGTCAGTCCAGAACTCTTGTGAGTCTGTTTAAGGAATAGATGAGAGATAGATTTGATTTCTGTTTTACAGAAAGAACATAATGGAGAAATAAGTATTTCTAATGTATTTAATATTTTATTACAGGGGGTGGTATCTATGTAATATCTTCATGTGAACTTCTTTCATTTTATGTGGAATAAGGAATTTATTAGACTCTGACCGAATGTGTTGTTCAGGGAAGTTTAGTTTCCATAAAAGAGTTGATTTGGGAGAATTACTGTGATCTGAGCTCAGAATTTTCACAATAAACAACCGAACAGTGACAGTGGTGTTGACCTCAGTTAGGGGGCCATGTTAATCTTCTCTGTATCGCTCCAATCTTAGTATATGTGCTACCGGAGCAACACAGCAGCTCCCTGTCTCTGTGGGGGATTTATAGGGGGTCTGTCCGGAGAGAGTCCTGTACCTACTTTCTATTTTCTGCCTTTATTTTCTCTCCAACTGTCAGCTGCAGTTCCATAAAGTCACCAGCAGGTGTCAGCCTATGAGCAGTGTATGGGAGGAGACAGATTATTTTGGCACCTTCTTCTAAACATTTCAAAGTATAAAGTTCATTCAAACGTTCAAAGTTCATTCAACTTTTTTCATATTTTTTAAACTATGTACACAATTGCAGTTCAAAACTCATGAAACTTTCATCCCCTTTCTCTCATCAACATAAAAACATAGGAACAATGTGTATCAAGAGTTAAAAATGCACTTCATTAATTTTTATGTAACCTTTTAGAGATGGGGAACAGAAATGGATTACTCTATTTAATGATTATTTGTGGCCAGTGGGATCAGAAGTTCTATGTTCGACTACGGAGCCTAGGATTAACCAAACAATACACCAGGAATGACTCAGACACAGTTGTACTTTCTTTGAGAAACAAAAAACGCTTCCCTTTTTATACATGGACTGGAAGGATAAGCCAAAAACATAGAAATGCAAAAAACTCTTTAAATGACACAAATCTTACCCGGGTAAGTAGAAAAATAAAAAATGTAAACAAAACTCACAGCTGTGATTTAAGTTCGAAATCCCCCCCCATTTTCAGTCACTTCAAATCAGTTTTAGTTCTGTTCGGTCCACTGTGGAAGTGGAGAGAGTTTGTCCTACCGCACAGTTGGTGGTGTGTGTGTGTGTGTGTGTGTGTGTGTGTGTGTGTGTGTAATGAAGTGCCGAATTCAATGTCTCGATCCAGGCTCCAACATCCAGGTAGATCAAAGGTTCAAAGAGGTCCAACAAATAAAACCTGACCCACAGTGAGTAAGGTCAGAACATTCTTTTAGCTTTTTTTAACTTTCAATCATGAACTATAGATTATAATTCATGTTAAATCCTCATCTCATTAAACTGAACCATCATTGTAATATGACATCACAATATCAGTAACAAACATTCTCAAAATATTCTCAGATAATTATTGAAAAACTTCTTAAATATCAAAATATCTCTTTCACATAGCAATTAGAATACAATCTAACATAGACCACGTTCACACGGCAAGTCTTAATGCTCAATTCGGATTTTTTGCTCAGATCCAATTTTTTGTTTGGCTGTTCACATTACCTTTTAAAATATGGCCTATATCAGATTCCAGTGTGAACTGTTTGTGGTTTCAAACTGACCCGCATGCGCAAAAGAACAATAACAATGACATCAGACGCAGCACGCTGTTGCACTAAAGTTAGGGAGGTTATGGAGGAAGTAAGCATTTTCACTTTTATTTTAAAATGTGTGTGTAACATTAATGAGCAGGTGCTGAGGAGGAGAAGAATGAAGAGAAAGAGAGCCAAATAGGCTATTTTGGCCTTTAGCGTGGTTATGGCTGCAAATCCACTACAGAGGTCTGTGTGGATGCGGAGACGAAGCCAAGAGTGGTGGGAATGTGATGTGAATAGCTTCACAGAGACATCTCCACTGTCCCTACCATCATAAGTGCATGCTGCACTCTCCACAATGTGTGCAAGAAGCATGGTGAGGCCTATGAGGGACCTGGTCAATCTACTCTTCAGGACAACAGGATGTTCTGGAAAAAAAAAAAAAAAAATGAAATGCAACCCTGTAAAATTCTCAGTTGTGCAGGTTTATGTAAACAACAAATCCATATAAAAATTCTCATCAAATTTTCCACACAAGGACTTTTCTCTGCCAAAAAATGAGAAAATCTGCTTATTTATATGTTCTACTTTGAATAAATATGTTGATAAATGTTCATGTTCAAAATAAAATTATTCTGCTATAGTGCAAGTCTCTGTCGGTTTAATAAAACTACATAACGTTAAAACTGTAACCTGAAATCAAACTGTCAAATATAATCTGAACTGTAATTAACCTTTATAATGATGGATACACTTTGCATAGATTGACCATCAATACTGAAAGCAAGTCACAATATCGTAATCTGATTTACTTTTCCTCATCACCTGGAGGTCAGTAGAATGGTGGATGGTTGAAAGGTAGAGGTTGAGCCAGATCTTGCAGGAAAGACAGAGGCTGGTTGGTTGTCTCGTTACATGGTGGAGGCTGAGGTGAACCCGTGCTAAATTTAGGGGGCTGAGTAAAGTTGTAAAAGGTAGGCTGAGGCGGCAAGTTGTCTTGGGTTGTACTGTGAGGGCTGGACTGGTGCCTGGTAGAAAGGTGGACATGGGGAATTTGACCTGGCAAGAAACTGTGTGAACATTGAGAGCATTTTGAGCTCATGTTCATGCTGTGCTGCTTGCATTTTCAATTGAAGCTCAGTGTCGTCTGTGTTGTTGAGGGCACTGCTGATCTTTTCAGTGAAGATTTCCTGTGTTGCTTCCATCTTGGTCTTCCTTTTCCTGCTCTTTGCAGATGTAGCTGTAAGAAAGAGGAGAAAGTGTTTGGCCACTGTACCACAATTACAAACATAAACAGTTAGGCTTGGAGGGTAGACATGAGTATAAGGAAAAACTTAGCATTAATACAGTACAGTAACAACAGAACACAAAATAATAATGGATGGGTTAGTTAAGCAAATACTTTACTAGTGATTTAGCAACAGCCTGATAAAAACATGATGATTCTTACTTCCAGAGGACTTGGTGGCTGTTGTGCTTCTTCCAGTGGTCTCTGTAATGCCTGCAGCTGATGAGCTTTCTCCAGATGTAGATGGTGCAGAAGACACAGAAGATGCAGATGGGAGTGACTCGGTGCTTGTATCATCTGGTGCAAGCAAACATATCATGTAATGCTATAATGTGATGTATTTGATGTATTCAATGCAAATATTATGAGCTGGTTCACGTTACCACTTTACATAACACCCTCAACACACACACGTTACCCTGAGAAGATGAGGGTCACCTGGTAGCCCCCCTCTTAACTTATATGTTAGGTTATAATATGGGATTTGGTTCTTCAGATCCAGGTCACCAGTGCACTGGATCAGATCATAGATAGACTGTACATTTTTGAATGACAGACACGTACAGGGTAGTCTCTGCTTCTCTGATGGGTTTCCGAGTTGTGCAAAGAAAACTGGGAGCAGCTGACTGGCTCGTTTATTCTGTTAACAGAATTTTCCTCTAATAAACACGCCAACTTTCTAGTCTCCAAATGTAAAACTTCTTTGCAATATTTCTAACTTTTATTTTATATTAAAGTGCGTTTCCACTCAAGACTTTCTATATGCGTAGGCTGTGAATGTCAAGACTGAAAACTTACCTGTCTCGCCATCAATATCCAGGCTGTCTGCCGACCTCCTCGGAGTTTCAGGCTCCTCTTCGCCTGCTTCGTAGCTATCCAGCAGCTCCAACGGCTGACAGCTGGGTTTATCGCCCATAACACGGCTAAGCTCGTTATAAAATGGGCAGGTGATGCGACCGCGACCGCTTCGGTTATTGGACTCATTTGTTTCTTTAAATTTAGCTTTAAGGCTCTTCACCTTCCTTTGGCACTGCAGCCACGTTCTCCTGTGTCCCTGTTCTTACATTTCCATTGCTATTTCTTCAAAAACGGAGCGGTTACGGTACGATCCTTCTAGTTTTGCTTGAATTGAAGTATCTCCCCAAATACTAATTAGGTCTAACACCTCACTCTCCCTCCATTGACTCGCTCCATCACTGTTCTCCATTTTGTAGGCCTAGTCAAGTTTTTAATTTTACCGTCTGTGTCGAGGGCGAACTCGCCGGCGCATCACTGTGACAAATGTCGATGTAGATTGACGTAAAAGTCGCATCAAATCCAGCTTGGTTGTTCACACTGCGGCCGCATTGAAAACAATCAGACCTGGATCAGATTCAGGACCACATATGGAAGTGGTCTAAATCTGATTTGAGTGTTCACACTACTTCTGAAGAAGTCTGACCTGGTCTGAAGTCTTGACCCCAAAAAGATCCGATCTGGGCCACTTTTGCCTGCAGTCTGAACGTGGTCCTAGATACCAGTAAGCAGACACATGTTGGACCCTCGGTCATGTGATGGGACGTTTACATCTCAAATAAAATGTAACATCCAAAGATAATTAAAATATGGCTTAATGTGCTTAAAATGCACAGATAAAAGTGCTAAATCAACACATTACACAGTTCAGTGTGTAACAATTATACAAACCAACATATTACACAGCATTGGATTCAGTTTGCAGCATTAAAATATCAAGCTAATGGTTGTAGCATTAGTGAATGGCGTCTGCCATTGTGCTAGTTAGCATCTTCAGCTAGCGCTTAGCATGGTAAAGACGATCGCTCACCGATGCGTTTCCTTCGTGAGGGAGACGTCAGGTCTCTCCGACTGCACTCTCACAGGTCCAGGGCTCCACACTGGATTATTTCAATCAGTTTTTAATCAGTTTTCAACAACTTTTATCGCTTTATCTTCACGAGGTAGGAATCGTTGTCGACGCGGGGTTTCCTCTCTGTTCTTCCAGGAGCTCAAGGTGACGTGAACTCTGCTCCGTGCAGGTCAACAGTCCGAGCTTCTTCCTGATTGGCTGACAGCGCGTCTCCAACCCATCTCCTTCAAAATAAACTTCCTATTTATTTTCTCTTTATCTCAGTTGAATTGCTTTTTAGACAAATATCAGTTTTTAATCTTTAACATTAATAACGTACTTCATGAATTGACTTTTTAATATAGCTCTTTTTAATATAGATTTTTAACCTTGGTTACACTTACTTTTAATATGTATTTGTGAATTTGATTCATTTTCATTGAGTCTGAATTTTATCTCATTGAGTTATTTTTCATTTTCTGTTATTTTGGTTTATTTCCAGTGGAAATTGAGTTTTCTGAACTTTGTCCTTCCGTAGCTCCCGAACTTCCGTAGCTCCTTCGTTTGTGTTGTTTCTGTTTAGTCACCCACCCCACACACACTTTTTACTCTGTTTAACCTATTCTATATAGTTTATACAGATTTGTTATTAAAATTAAATGTTTTCTTGTAACCGTAACAGCTCTTTCAGTATATTTTTTTGTTTTTGTAATATGCACATTGAGTTACATATACTCTGTAATGTTTAAATTAATTTATCTATATGTATTTTCAGAAAGATAATGAAATCACACAGTGTTGTTTTGCATTGCTGAGGAAGCAGAGGTGCAGGAAAAAAAGAGCAGAAGGAAATGAATGTGCTATATTGTCTTCTGCAGGAGCAAATAAATGCTGGTTAACAGTTCTGTGAGTCGTCCTCTGTTTATGCCCAATCCACACACCTGTTACACATATAAAATAAAAAGTTTCTGAATGACATCACATTGTAGGAGCGAATTATAAACTCACATATACAGTATGTATGTATAGAAGTTATTGTTTACTTTTACATAGTAATTATCCAAATATTTGAGAGGTCTTATGGCTTTCTTGTTTGTTAATCAAAGTCAAAGAGAAATTATAATTCAACAAAATACAGATGAACATTGGGTTTGAAGCGTTCCAGCCTTATGGATATGATATTTGCCAACAAGACACATAAGTTTCATAGCAGCGTTAATGGGTTGTGAATCAATATTACAATTTACAAAGAAGACCGTGTCACCTCCGTGTGTGTCACCTCCATGCAGTTCCATAAAGTCACCAGCAGGTGTCAGCCTATGAGCAGTGTATGGGAGGAGAGCGCTGTTGTAGTCTGAACATTGACAGTATGCTGTATATTAGAGTCTGACTGCAGATTAATACAACACGTCAAAACACAAGTTTTTCTGTTAAATCGGGGGTTTAGAGACGGGAAGATAAATTCGGCGTCCAACTGAAACACCTCTGAGCTCTAATTCATCTGTTTATCTTGTCATCCTGTATGTCTTTCTGTATCAAACCCTTCTTCAGTATTGATGTTTTCATCCTGGGACTCTTCAGTTGACAGCAGATATGTTATTATTGATTCTTTGAGTCTATTTGTTAAAGTTTGAACACAGTTTGGAGGTTCTGGGACATCTGGTTTTCGATGGTGTGTGTGTTTGGTTCATGGAGGTCCTGTTTGTACAGAAAGAGGCAGTGTTGCTGTGCAGCAGGGTCCGGTTTAGACCGTGAAGGCAGCAACAAGTGGACGTGGCCTTTTAGATGTGACATAATGAATTTCATGTCCTCCTCTCTGATATTGTCATTTCCTCTATGTAAGAAATGTGCTCCAGATATTCTTCCACTGCTAGCAGACTTGGGTTGCAGGCTTTTGTGTGGTTGCTTGGCTGTGCTGACTTCTTCTGAGACAGAAACAACCAGCTTTCCAAGTGATTGAGGCGGGCTAATACTTAAAGGCCACGAACACTGGGATTATTCGTGGCAGGCACCAACCACCAGGGGGCTGTGTCTGGGAATGACACCCCAGTTTCTGACACATTCAACTCTTACTTACCTGGCAGGTGGGATGCCACGATCAAGAAAATGGTTCACCCAGCATGAGATGCATTTGTTGCTCATCCTGCTGTGCTGACCCCTGTGAATTCCCCAAATGTTGAACTCTTGACTGTATAATTTCTGCTAGTGGTGGACTGTTAGTTAGTGTTCTCCTCATCTTGTTCCAAAGGTATTTCCCAATCAGTCAATAACAGCTCACTCACAGAGCTGCACTGAGAGGAGGAGCAACACTGAAAGAGCTTCAGTGACACATTTCCTGGAAATGATAGTGTAAGCTTGTCTAAGCGACAGCAGAGCTGCAGTCAAGACAAGTCTCAAAGAGTAAGAGAAAAGAAATATCAGTCAAGCTGACCCTTCAGTCTGTCTCTCTCTGAAGTCTCAGCCTGAGAAGGTGGGGCTGTTTGTGGATTATGAGGAGGGTCTGGTCTCCTTTTATGACACTGATGCTGCAGCTCTTATCTACTCCTTCACTGAGAACCTCTTCCCAAACTTTGGTCCTGGAAATAATGATGCTGGTAAAACTCTGCCCCTCTGATTATCTCTCCTCAATCACACTGAGTAGAACATAATTTAATGTAATAAATGTATATTTATTGATGAAGGACGGTGTATACATTGTTGCCAAGCCTAATTTTTTGAAAAACAGCTGATGATGATGTTTCTAATGACCACCAAATCATGTGATTTAAATCCTGACTTGAGCTGACGAGCCCCAATAACCATCACATCTGAGACAGTTGGTAGCGTCAGATAATATTAATTTATTTTAATATAGATTTTTACTTCATTGTCTCGGTGTAAAAGTTTCATGTCTCTAATATAGTGGTTGCAGCTAAAGATTAATATTACTAAACCGGAAGTCTCCCTCGTCCCCATGTTTTAGGAGATTAAATGTTTTCTATTACTTTGATGGAACAGATTCACACAATTACGTCCTGAAGGTTTGGAAACCTTTTAAGACATCTCTTGATAAGACTTAAGTGTTTAATTCACGAGCTCTGCTGCTTTAATTTGATCTAATCTGTGCAAAATCAACCTTAATATGCATACTGATTTATATTCTGCCTGTCTCCACCCGTATGTGTTTTCTTCTTTTTTCTTTTTTGTTCTTAATTTATTTATTTATGTATTTATTTGTCACCATTTGACTCGATAGTCGGAGTAAGGGGTAATGTGCCATAGGTAGGAAATTATGAAGTAAAGTAAGTAATACAATATTAAGGAATAATTAAGTGGTTTTTCAGGTATCTGTACTTTGAGTTTATTTTTCTGACATTTTTCGCACAAATATCTGTGCTTCTACCCCTTACATTTTAAAAACTGTCTTGTTACCTTAGTTTCTAGTAAGTTACTTACTTTAAGGGGATTTATCAATTATTATTATTATTATTATTATTATTATTATTATTATTTTGCATCATTGCACACCTTCCCAACATCAAGACTGCTGCAAATCACACATGACCAAAGTAACAAAACAACGTAACAAGACGAAACAGACAACTTACAGAACCCATTTAAAGTTTCAGCTTTGCACAAAAAACTGAACTTTTTTCTGTTATTACTATGAGTCCATTTCAGAACCTGCACTTTCTTTTCTTTGACTTGTGTAAAAGAAATTGAATCAGTACTTTTACTGGGTTACAAAGTGCTGTGACAAAATAAGTGAGATAAAAGCAAACAAACAAAGTATAAACATAAGTAACCAAACAAAACACAGTTAAAATACGAGAATAAAAGAAAATAAAACAAGCAACAACACCAAGAATTGCATATCAATAATTTGGGAAGTTACAATGTGAATATTAAAGCTGCAAGCAGTGATGAACGGGCCTCGCACTCGGGGTGTGCTGCGTCCGCGTTTTTCACGTAAATCAGATCAAAATCATCACGCAGCGCATACTTCCTGTTGCCAGTAGGTGGCGCTATCACTATATCTGAAT